CCATGTCATGGACTTTGTTGATCATTTCTGGCGCGGTGACTTCATTTGGCCTCTCGGGACGCTCATCATCAAAAACATTCGTACGATCACTCACAAATTCAGCTTTTCAAAATTTTACTGTTTCTAACGAAGTTGCAACCTCACCATAAACTTCGTCCAGGTCGGCTTTGATTTGCACATTCGTTTTACCCTTTTTGTGGAAGAACTTAATCACTGAATGATACTCGACTTTTTCCCTGAAAACACCCAACATGAATGGCAAATGTCAACACCGAAACCAATTCGGTATCAAGTAGCGCCATCTATCAAAGGCTACTTTAATATCAATCTATCTTCGTACATAATTCCAGTTTGTTTTTGTTTGTTTATTTGTCTGTTAAACAGAGAATAACATTGATAATGAAAAAGATTTTTTAACTATCATTTTGATCATGTGGCAGCTGATCGTAATACGAACTACAATCAGGCGCCAAATCAAGTTTTAATGCTTGGAGGTTGTTCCATTTGGAATAGGTCAACTTTTGCTTCTCTTGGTTTACAGGGAAAGCATTCACGAGTGCATTATCATGAATGATTTTTTTTGTCTTCCTGGTAAAGTAGAATAGTCACAATAGTCATCAAATTTCGTTTTTACAGTTATTTCTCCGTTGCTATATTTTATGGCCTTAATATCCACTTCGGTTGGATCACCAGCTGGTGTCTTCTTCTTCTTTAAGTGCTGATCTTTCTGCTGCTCTGAAGAGTTCTATAGAACTGCATTTAAACCGGTCCCTTAAATTCTTAACCGTGACTCTCTTATTCTTCCTATACTTCTTCCGCCTCTTATGTTTTCCTGTATTATCAGCCTTAGCAGTTTATATCGCTGTCCCCCCATTACGCGTCCCAGATATTGCAACTTTCTTATTTTTATTGTGTTTGTTATTTCACATTCTTTGCCTATTTCTCGCAGTACTTCCGTGTTAGTTTTCTTCTGTGTCCATGCTATTCTAAACATCCTCCTGAAACACTACGTGACCAGATTTGGTAACTAAGTGACCAAATCTTCCCCAACCTTTGCGTTAAAGTTTCCCATTATATTTGTTACATCTTGCATTTTAATGGATTTTAAAATGTTGTCTAGGTCTTCGTAGAAAGTTTCAATATTGCTCTCTGGTTTGTCCGCAGTTGGAGCATAAACTTGTAGGATGTTTATTTTGGGTTTGTTCTGGTTTAGTTGTAAGATTATAATTCTGTTGGAGTGAAAATTATTGATGTCTTATGGAGTCATAAGCTGATGTCTTATGAAGTCATAAAAAAAAGCTAAGAATATTCTTTAAAAAACTTACAGTCCAGATAGTAACTTCTATATGGAAATGGTTTACGTCGGGCCTCTTTTGTAATATCAGAATACTGACCGGGAAGAGAATTATATCGATTTTTAAATTTTGCTTCAATCGCGCTATGAACGGAATCACATTCCATCTGCGTATGTCCCTTGGTCAAAAATTTTTGCTCGATAGTAATATTTCATTATTTACTGAAGTGTAGCAGTGCGTTAGATAAAACTGTATTTCAGTTTTGATAGTTACAGCCATCCGACCAAAGGATAACTGGTAACTGTTTTTCTTGCAAAGCATTTTCCAAATTATGTATAATGCAAGAAGCAAATGAAGAGCATACCAATTCTGTGGCTGTTTCGTCGAACCAGAAACAAACCGCGTCATTAGTGTGTAGGTTATATATAGCAAAGCTATGTAAATTTAACTTCATCATCATCAATCAGCCAATCGCGTCCACTGCTGGACATAGGCCTCCCTCAGTTCTTTCCAGTGTTCTCTACACTGGGCCGCTTGTAGCCAGTTTCCCGCTACACGTTTAATGTCATCGGTCCATCTAGTCGATGGTCGTCCTCGGCTTCTTTTATAATTTCTGGGCCCCCATTCCATAATACGTCTTGTCCATCGTCCATCTTGTGTTCTGGCTAAGTGCCCTGCCCAGTTCCACTTAAGCGTCGTGGTTCTTTCGATGACGTCTTGAACTCCTGATCTTCGTCTGATTTGTTGGTTTGTTATGTGGTCTCGAAGGCTCACGTTCAGCATTGCACGTTCCATGGCTCGTTGTGTAACTCTAAGTTTATTCGCAGATTTTTGCGTGAGTGTTAAAGTCTCTGCTCCATAAGTTTGTACAGGTAAAACACATTGGTTATAAACCTTTCGCTTGAGACACATGGGAATTGAGCTTTTTAGAATATGGCTTAATTTGCCAACTGCTGCCCATGTTAGACCTATTCGCCTCTGTATTTCATGTGTTTGATTGTCTCTGCTTATTTTGATTTCGTGTCCCAGATATTTGTAAGTGTCTGTTTGTTGTATGGTATTATTGTCAATAGTTATATTTCCACTCATTACGAGATTTGTTATAATTTTAGTTTTCTCAAAGTTTATCTTTAATCCTGCTCTTTCAGACAGACTTTTAAGCGAATGCATCATAGAAACTGTATCTTGTAAGTTATCTGCGATTAATACAACATCATCTGCAAACCTTAGGTGATTTAATCTTTCTCCATCTATATTGATGCCCATATCTTGCCATTGAGTACCCTTAAATATTGACTCTAGAGCTGCCGTGAACAATTTTGGTGAAATATTGTCTCCTTGTATAACTCCTCGACCTAAGCTGAATTTTTCTGTGTCTTCGTGCAGTCGTATACTTGATGTAGCGTTCTGATAGATGTTTTTGATTAGTGTCGTGTACCTGTAATCTATTCGGCTTTGATTTAGGGCTTCCAGTATTGTTTCAAACTCTACAGAATCAAAAGCCTTCTCGTAATCGACAAATGCAAGAACCAGTGGTATGTTGTACTCGATGCACTTTTCTATTAAGATCTTTATGGTATGCAAATGGTCATTTATGCCATATCCTGCCCTGAAGCCTGCCTGTTCTTTGGGCTGATAGAAATCAAGTTTAGGTGTTAGCCTCTTTGTTAAGACTTTCATAAAGAGTTTGTACATATGTGTCAAGAGGCTGATGGGTCGATAATTTTCTAATTTAGTAATATCGCCTTTTTTGTGTAACAAGACTATTACTGCATTGTTCCAGTCTTTTGGAATCGTACCCGCATGTAAGCATTTAGTAAACAGTTCGCTTACTGATTTTAATAAAATTTCTCCACCTGCTTTTATTGCCTCGACAACGAGTCCATCATCACCAGGCGATCGATGGTTCTTCATTTCCTTTAAAGCTGCTCTTACTTCTGACACAGTAATGGGTAGTATTTCCGATCCCTGATTTATGAGAGTCTTTACTCGTGCCGGGAAATTGTCTTGTGGTCTTTGGCTGGTATAGAGGTCTTTATAAAATTCTCTAGTTATTTTCAGAATGTTTTGTTTATCTGTTGTTGCCTTTCCGTCTTTATCTCTCAGCTTGTATATTTCTTTTTTACTTTGCGTAAGTTTTCTTTTCATTATCTTTAAACCTTTGTTCTCTTCTACTGTTTGAGTAATTACATTAGTATTATATCTTCTTACATCTTTTCTAATTTCCGCTGAAATTCTTTTATTTAGTTTTTTATATTCTTCTTTGTTTCCCTTTTCGTTCTCGCTTAGGTTTCGTCGTATTTCCATGAGAGCATTTGTATCTTTGCTAATCTTTTCACTTTTGGTGTTATTTTTCTTGCAAAATTTGAGTTGTGCGTTTCTAACTGAGCCTGTTATTAATTTATTGTGATCGTCGATACTTGGAGGTTTGGGTTTATTACTCTGTAAAGTTTCGGCTATATTTCTTATGTATGCTTCTGGATGATTTGGTGAATTCCAAACTGTGCGTTTACAACTGTTTATCATCTTTGCTCTTTCTTTTTGTAGATTGATCGTTACTCTAGCTCTTACTGGTCTGTGGTCACTTCCTACTGATAGTTTATTGAGTACAGTGACATCTTGAATAATTTGCTTTTTGTCTGTTATTATATAATCATATTCGCTCTTAGTTCTTCCGTCGGGACTAGCCCACGTCCATTTTCTATTCTGTTTCTTCTTAAAAAAGGTGTTCATTGCATACAGTTTGTGTTGCAATTTAACTTACTTAAACACTAATTAAGTGGCTTGAAGATCTTGCGTAAACACATGTGCTTCACCTTTTAAGGCTGTGCTTTATCTTGTCCTTTTTCAATTCGTGCTCTTTCACTCTTTCTTTATTTTGTATATGTATAATATACTCAGGTTCAAAAATGTTTCCACTTTTATAAGCACAACATAAATCACAATCATCTCTCCTCAGATTAAACAGTGACAACTTATTTTTTAAAAATCGATTCAAAAGTAAATCTACCGACTTTTTTTAAATTTTCTTGTGGCGATATTTCGAGATAAAGGTTGTACAGTTGCGAAAGTAATGTTACGATAGACTCTAAGTACTTCTTTGTTGTTGATGTCTTCTTTTTCTTTATTTATATACACAATTTTGCTTGTTAATTGGCGAGTTGTTCTGTCTAGTGTTCACTCGTTTATACCCTGTACATAACATTTTGTTCTGATCTCGTCACTCCTTGATCTTGTCACTTTTTAATGAGTATTCTCATCTCTGCTGTTAAAGCGCTTTCTGGATTCAGTAAAGTTCCGAGGCATAACTTGCTGTCTCTATGAGCAAAATATTTATAGGTTCTTTATTCAGGCGTAGGACCAAATCAATAATGTGAAAGAAAAAAAATTTAACGATTCCTATACAGCTGAAATATGGCCAACAAATTAGAAAAAATGTATCAAGACAGTTCTTAGTCATCACCGTATGGTCCTGACCTTTCATCATGTGTGATCACCATACCTTTGGTCGACTAAATGTACTGTGACCTGAAGATTTCGATACGATTATAAAATAATCAAATAGCCAGAAAATAAACTCACCATTCCCTGACTATTTTAAATATCTCTAACTTTTTGTAGTAATTAAAACTAACTATATATATTTTTTTGTTTCAGGGATGATGGCCTTTCACAATTACACCAGTTCAACAAATCAGCCCCCCAATGGGATCTAACGTCTCGACAAAAACGGACAGATCATCCTCATCAATCATGTCCAACCAAAACGCCACCATTGAACCATCGAAAATCATCATCGACCAATCCGACCAAAGCATCTCCAATTCAGACCAGTGCAGTTCCGTCTCCGACCAAGCCGGTTCCAGTAGTTCTAGTTGTCACCAAACCGGTACCGAAGAGTTAAAGGAACTACCTTCAAGTACAAACGTCGAAGAGCTGAAATCAAATAAAAAAGCAATAGAATTTAGTGATGATACTACAGGTGTAGATAAGAATGAAGACGAAGACTCTGCAACGGAGAGTCTGCCGCCTACTGAAGAATTAATTGAGGAACCCCACGATCGATCGGATGGTTCAGACTCTGGTTTAGGTTCAGAGTTGAGTGAAGAACGACCACAGGAAATAGTGGCGAATATAGAAAGCGATAGCGAGTCTTCGTTTCTGTACAATACAATAACTAATACGCAGTTTGAGGAATTTGCGAGGCAAGTTACTAATAGTAACGACAACATGAGCGGCGTACAATCCAAGAATAAACAAACAAAAAGCAGTCTTAAGCGAAAGCTTGTTGCAGATGAAAACGACGAACCCAAAGCTAAAAAAAGAAAAGGTATCACTTTTGACAGTGTCACCGTCTTCTATTTTCCCAGAACGCAAGGTTTTACTTGCGTTCCTTCACAAGGCGGCTCAACCTTAGGCATGGGAGCTCACCATTCGCATGTAAAGAAGTTCTCCATAGCTGAGCATGCCTTAGAGCAAAGAAGGATCCATAGACAACTTCTGCAGCAACTTCGCTCCGAAAGAAACGTTACAGGCGGCACAGCAACTTCCAGTGACGAATCGGACAGTGAAGATGAAGCCAGTGAAGGCTCAGACACCGAAATGGACCCCGACAATTTCTACTTCCTTCAGCCAGTTCCTACAAGGCAGCGGAGAGCTCTTCTACGGGCTGCTGGAGTGAGGAAGATCGACTCGATAGAGAAGGATGAGTGCAGGAACATTCGGACGTCCCGGGAGTTCTGTGGGTGTGGTTGTAAGGGATATTGTGATCCTGACACTTGTTCCTGCAGTCAAGCGGGGATCAAATGTCAAGTAGATAGACTTAATTTTCCTTGTGGCTGTTCTAGAGACAATTGCGGCAATTCGAGTGGAAGAATCGAGTTCAATCCTGTTCGGGTTCGGACACATTTCATACATACACTTATGAGGTAAGTTTTTTTGTTATTTTTTTTTTTCGCTTAGGCTAGTCAGTTTTCCCATGTATCATGTATTCCATTCCATCCCATTATTGATATATGCAGAGAAAATAATTTGAAAATAATAAACACATTTTTTAAACAAAAAGATGTAAAGTATACAAAAGAAGTCAAAAGTAGAGGCGAAAGATCCATCATAGACTATGTAAATAAATCATCGAGGCAATGTATTAAAGACGTAGGAGCTGAAATATATAGTGACCACTATTGTAGCCAGGACCAGTTTGGGAGTGAAACAAGAATCAATAACGAAAGACATCAAGAAAACAAGTAAAGCTCATGATATATCCACTATAGAAGTAATCAGGTCACATAAGCTAGCAGACAAGGAGACAGCAAACAAGTTTGAACACTACGTTAAAAACTACCTAACAGAGCACGCTGAACATGACTGTGACTTAGACCAAAATTGGCAAATACTGAAAGAAGCACTCCTAAAACAAGTATGCAAAGCACTCCTAATACAAGAAGCAAAAAGTGTACAAACTGGTGGAACAATGAAATAAAAGCAGAAGTGAAGTCCAAGAAGCTAGCTTTGAAAAATTATTTAAGGAACGGAACCGCAGACAACTACCAAATATATAAACTGCAAAGAATCAAAGTCAAAGATGGTACTAGTAGCGAAAAGGAAATGTTGGGAAAAATTCGGAAACACGATGGAACAAGACTACCACTCTAACGAAAAGTTATTCTTTAAAACCCTGAAGAATTTAAGAACCGAAAAGGCTCCAGAAACACCAAAGCATATAAGGGACAAAGAAGGACACTTACTGCATGACAATGACCACATCCTAGATAGATGAAAACAATATTTCGAGGATCTACTGAATATCCAAAACGATGTAGACATTATCACAGAAGAACCAGAAGAGGTAGAGCAAGAAGACCAAATTCAAGACGAAATAACTATAGCAGAAACAAAAGAAATCATACAACAGCTTAAGAAAGGTAAGGCGGCTGGATTTGATAAAATCACAGCAGAAATGCTTAAAAACATGGGCGACAAGGGCATTGAACTGCTGACAAAAACAGGGCATGGAGTGAGAGACAAATATCAAAATATTGGAAAGTGGGAGTTATTCTACCTATTTTCAAAAAGGGAGACAGACGCGAATGTAGTAACTACAGAGGAATAAGACTACTGAGCATCCCATTCCAAGTATATGAGAGAATACTAGAAAAACGTCTTTTACAAGAAGTTGATTCTAAAATGGAACAATCACAGATTGGATTTAGAAAAGGCAGAAGCATCCAAGATCACATTTTTACTATCAAGAAACTAATACAAAACGCACAGAACTCAAGCACTGAGTTATACCAAGCCTTTATAGACTTAGACAAGGCATTTGATAGTAATCCAAGGACGGTGTAAAAATCAAACTCGGGCAAGCCAGTATGAGTATATATAGACATACAAGGAACAGAATCAGAACCGATAATATGGAATCCGAAGAGTTTATAGTAAATGAGGGTCTACGTCAAGGAGGAGTCGTAGGCCCCATACTGTTTAATATTGTCTTGGATGACATAATTAAACAAACTAGAGCAGAAATATTGAAATTATATGCCGCACATAGAAATTTAGAAGCAGTGTGGGTTTTAGAGTGTGCATACGCAGACGATCTAGTGATATTTGGGTAAATGAAGAAGCACTCAATTGAAATTTACAAGTATGGAACGCTGCACTAATTAAACGAAATTTGAGGATCAATAATGAGAAGACGAAAGTAATAGTATGTGAAAAAATAGAAAACAAAGATAACACTTAACGGAAATACACTTGAACAAGTGGATACTTACAAATACTTGGGAGTACAAATACCACTCAATTAAAAGTACGTTTTTGTCGAAAAAAGAAATATCCCAAAAAGCCAAAGTGACCATATACAAAATGGTGTTTGTGCCGATTTTAACTTTTGGTGGTGAAAGTTGGACGTTTACTGATAAATAATAAGAATAATGGGTATAACCAGGTTAAACAGGATTAGAAATGAGGCAGTCAGAGAACATCTTAAGGTCCAACCAATTATTAAGAAAATCGAAGAGGCCCAACTGAGATGGTATGGACGCATGGTTAGAATGAATCAAGAAAGGCCAGTTAAAAAAGTATGGAAAGCCAGAAGACAAACCAAGAGACCAAGGGGTAGGTTAAGCTTGGAAAGAGAAATCTATCTCTCAAAATATCAAGATGAGACTGGTGAATGCCATTGTATTCTCAATATTACTATACGGGGCAGAGACTTGGACTCTTCGCGAATGCGGGCGCCAAAAATTTATGCCTTTAAGATGTGGTGCTGGAGAAGAATGCTGCCCATACCTTGCACAGCTCACAAGTCAAACGTTTTCATTCTAAACCAACTCGAGATTAAAAAAAGGCTGTCCACAATATGTCTGCAACGTATTCTGCAATTTTTCGGTCACGTGATTCGCAGAGGTGACGATAGTTTGGAGAGATTAATTGTTCCTAAAAACTTTCATTGGAGAAGATCAAGAGGACGATTACCAACTAGATGGTCCGACCAAATTAAGAATTTAGCTGGAAACTCATTCTGCGAATCTCTCAGACCAGCTGAAGATAGAAACCAATGGAGAAAAATTGTTAGGAATATTGGAAGAAATCACGATCCTCAGTAATGGGGAAACGGCAAGCGAGAGAGATAGTTAATTCTTAGTCTTCAATTTTAGCTTTTACAATTTATTAGAAGCTATTCTTAAAGCTTTTTTCTGCTTCCAGTTCTGATCGTGTGATACACATACGACAGGACTTCTTAAAATAGTCTCTTTACCTATATATCCATCTCGGCGGTAATTCCTGAAACTTCTTGATTCTTGAAACGATGCAAATGTTTATTTTAAGACATTCGACAATATCCTGATCCATTTTCTAATACATATCAAGTATCTTGAGATATGGGAGATATGGGAAAGATTTATAAGTTCCAAGATGTGGGTTGCCCTACGATATTATTTGTTTCATTTGATATAAAATGCAAGAGAGGGAGCGATATACAAGTAAAGTTTGTTTAGTAGAAAATGGTTGACATCCTTGTACCCCAGCTAAACGATTAATACCTGAAACAGGGCCTTTTATACTATTATCGGTTATCCCAGAATGTCTATAATCGGTACTAATTGAAATCAACCATTTACTGCTAAACAAACTTTAATTACAAAGGGACACAGGTGTAAAAAAAGCGTATTTGTCTCGCTTGAGATCGCACTGTGAAGAATATGAATTCTTCAAGTGTTTCTCTATCAGTTTATTACCTTAATCATTTACTTCTTAAAATAATTAAGTTGTTTATTTTTATCAGCAATTTCTCTTTTGTTACAGGCTAGAACTAGAAAAAGAAAAGGAAGGCAAGTCCGAAAACAAAGACATCCCAGTCCCCCAAAACTGGATGGACAACGAGAGGCTAACATCCGCGCCCCACCAGGACCAATCTTCGGCGAAGTGTCCCATCAATAAGTATAATAGTAGTTTGTTACGGGACGTCAATCTTACCGCCAACGTGGAGGCTGAAAACTGCGTTCACACGGGAAGCTTCACCAATCTACACTACGGAGCTCCTGGGGAAGGCCCCGGGAATCATCTGCCGGACAGAGCTGATTCCCTGGACCTGTATACTTTCAGGTAACTTGTAGTTTTGAGTAATCTAGTATAGTATGTTGCTAGAACACTTTTTATAATAGATTTGTATATTAAGTATTGATTATTTCTAGTGCATGATGTTTAGAATAAATTAAATGTTATAAAATTTTTTTTTTATTACACCTGAACCATAATCCTTTGTATACCAATGAAAAGAGGATCAATCAACACAGTTGCTGATTGTGTTGACATTTTCAGTAATTGAGGAGTGGACGTCAATAACAAGTAAAGTGTAAAAAGCAACAAAATAGTTATATTTCAAGAAAAAACAACACTATTTCAATGTAATGGAACCATGTAGAGAGGGAGATGAAATGGTCATGAAATGACGACTTGAACCAGCACCAAAAATGAAGCACGTAAATTCAGCTCAGTTTTGAAATAAATGTAGCAACAAAAATGACCAATTATAGCGCTAGAATACTAGTAGCAAAGATGCGAATAGATTTTTGTCACGGCCGCCAGACGACCTGGTGCTTAATCCGTTAGACTTTTATTATAGTGGTTTTATAAAGAATTGAATGTTGATAAATTATTGCCTACGTGTCGCATGTAGATTAAGACTATTTTAAAATATATGAGACAACGACAAAATGTAGAACTACACTCTACATATCACGTAATTCCTTTGAAACGAATTTTGATTTTGTTAAACCTGTTTAGAAAAATCATTAGGTAGTAAAATTCGTAGTAACCGTTTATATACGCTGAATGTTTATTTGATTTTTTATTTGTTCATTTGCTTATCTAGTATGTTATCAATTTATCTTTTGCGTTAAGTTTACGCTATCAAATGCATGCCGGTTGAAATATAATTTCAGATGATCTACAATGACGCAGTAATAAATTGCTTTATTAGCTGTAAGCGTTTAAAAAGTGATTTTGGTGCCTTAAAATAATGATCAAATTTCGCTGATTCGGCACTGGCCAAAAATCGTTACCGTGAAATATTTGGAGACCTAAATCTATGCGCACACACATCGAATTTGGACGGTCGATAAAAGTTCGATCGAATTTTTATCGATGATGCTTTGGACGCACACATTAAAATCGGCTTTTTATTCGGCACGTTTAATTGTTTATTTGCATTTTACGTTTAAAGTAAGTATTTTTACGAAAAAATAACTTTCGTTTTAGAATAAGTCTCACTAGACTATTTTTAACTGATAAAACGTCATAGCAACGCCACGTTTCCTACTGACAAAACTCCTTCCTTCCTGTCCGCGACAAAATTATGACATATCCGTCTTGAGCAGGTGTCTGCTAATTCGATTGTTGTCATTTTAAAAAAACGTCATTGAGGCGTAATCACTTTTGAACAGATATAATGAATCCAGACGAAAAATCAAGATTTGGATGCCAGTCAGGTGAAGAAATCAAAAAATTGGTTTCGGAAAATGCCCCACTGAATACACAGAGGTGCAGAAGCTCTATTTGGACCCAATTTTCGGAGTCCTATGGTTGAAAAATTTAACGCTTGAAAGATGTACTACCACAACGGAACTAGCAAAAATTCTCCAGGTTTGGCCAGAGATACCAAGCGGATGCAGCTTCAAACTGTTCTACAAAAAAGAAAAACTCAGTTCAAAAGTATTATCCACCGAAGAACTATTAAAAGTCATCCAAAGCTACGACGAGGAAACTCACGATGGAGCCCAAAAAATGTTTTTTTCGCCTTTGCTCATTTGAACTTGCTTGGAGAGGCAATGAGGCCGTAAACTGCAAGTTACACTTTTTCCAGAAGAAATTTGATATTATGGGAGAATTTACCGGCAATTGATTACAACAGCAGTTTTTCCAAAACAAATCAAGGCAGTTCGAAAAGTTTGGCAAGCAGCAAATCGCTGATAAGAAATTCATCAAACGGAAATATATGCCCAGTTAAATTATTTTCGAAATTAATGGAAAAAAGGGTCCAAAGATTTTATCAGGCAGACTCTTACCGTTGACCCCAACTGGAAAGATGAATCTTGGTTTAAAAACTGTCCACTTGGAATCAACACCATATCTAAGTGGACAAAAATGTCATCTAAAAAAATTGGAATAGACACAAAAAACATAAAATAAGACACTATTCTCATGGATCTTCGGCTGTGTCAGCCTTATCAAGAAGAAAGGTGTTTCTGATCAGGAGTTAATTAAATTAACGGGTCACTCAAACGCAACCTCTAAAACCATATGTCCAGCTGGATTCCAGTCACCACTAGAAGTTGATCGAAAATCTCAGAACAACAAATGAAGCTGGACTTTCCAGTCCCAAATGCTACAGGTCAATTATGTTGATGCATTGTTGATATGGTGCATTAAATTATCTCGTAAAATAGTCTTGTTAAATATCATTCGATAGAAAATTATTTACCGGCAAAATTTTGTTCTGGTTTTATTCAAGTTTGTTCCCTTTTCGCTTTTGAAATTTTGACAAAATCACTCGACTGACATCTCGTGATTTAACTGTCAAAATTTAATTCGTGAAAATTGCCAGGCAACAAACTTTCATACCTGTCGAAAATATTGCCAGCAAAATTTTTTCTCTTATGATATTATATACGAGAAAAATCGCAAAATTGTATTTGCCATTTTTTACAAATTAATTATTTACGAAGTTTATTGAGGAATTATACGAGGTATATCAACATTGCGTTTAATATGTAGACCAAGTTGATTTTAAAAAAAGTGATTACCATTTGAAGCGTATAAATGCAAAACCAGACATTTGACCTATAAGATGTTTTGAGCAAATCGCAAAAAACCTACCAAAATCGTAATTTGAACATTGTGTTTTAACCAAAACTTTCTATCTTTGATAAATATAGTTACTACTTATCAAAACAAATTAGACTTGTTAGTAAAAGTATATTTTGGTTTAAAAATTAGACATGTCTTGTTTTACACGTGTCTTATGCATCTAAATGAACCTCAACTGATTTCATCAGCCGCCCAATTCACCCTACAGTGTTTCGTTAACAACGTTTATATGCTTTTTATTTTATCTGGTTTTGAACGTCTCCCTACACTCAATGGTTGTAACTGGATTTGAGTAATATTCTTTCCTTTCTTGCAGATGCTCTTGGGCTTAGAAAGCACATTTTTGTAAAACGGCTCGCCTGTGACATTAACACACCCTTTCTTGTCTTTTTGAAAATAATAGTCGTTTAGATGGTTGAAAAAGAAAATGCCAGGATCCAGGAGTTTTGAGAACTTCTTGCACCTCACCTTTCCAGTCACAAACTGTGTAATCTTCTCCAATCTTCAGCACTGTAGAATAATCTTTAATAAAATTAATATATGTTTCTGGATCAATTATGGTGGCACATTAACTTTTCTTTCAATTTGGGCAAATACTAGATCAGGGAGAAGGAAAGAATGACCTACTATGGGATATACAAGTTCTATATACTTTATATGATGTGGAGCACAGTATTGAACCATTCCAACCATTGTGATATTCTTATTTTGGCCTCCACAACCATCAGCCACTAAACGTACTTTTTCTACCCCTTCATCAAAATGAAAGTTTGTCCATGTAATAAACAGCAGAAACAATATCATTTGAACTCCTCTGGCGATCATTCTTTGTCCATATAAATGATTTTACTGATTAAGAATTAAGTGGGGACTGAATGTTCAGTTACAACTGTAAAATTTACAAATTTATTTACATACTAAAATAGCAGGCCTGGTCTGGAATCTTTGGTAGTGGTAGATTCTTTTGGAATCAAAGTAAAATATTGCTACTGTGCCATTGTCTTCTCCTAATAACTCACAAAACGCTTTACTACGCAGTTTGTGTACGCGCTGTTCTGTCATTTTGTTTATTTTTTCTTGTGGGTTTGTGATTTTTTCATTTTTTTTTTTTGAAAATTGGAGACATTGTGAACATACATCCACTTTTGGTGATAACCAATGTTGTATTGACGTACAAACATATTTCTGAAGAAGCACTGTCTTAATTTTAGATGTTCCTCCGTGGTAGAAGTATACATCTTCCATAATATCTATATATTTAGTTCACAAGGCAAATATCGTCTATCAACTGTTTTATTCCTGGCATAATGAGTTTCGCAGCAAGTAATAGATTCAATGAAATGTGTTATTGGCGACGTGCAAGTACTTGGAGGGGATACGAGAAACGATCGTGCGCGAGTAGCGGAGAAATCTTGCTTTTTTTACTGCACATTTCATAGATTTCATAAATTCATATTGTCAAATTGTCAATTGTCATATTTCATATTCGTTTGTTTACTTACACCTTCTGTCACTGAAGAAAATGGGATTTAGGAAATGCTGTGTTATAAATTGTAAAAATACAACAAAAAATTGTCAATTTAAGTTTTATTCGTTTCCAACTTCGAAGCACAAAGCTACTACAAAGAAAAAAGTGGATTTATATCATAAAAAAGCATAAGTAACATAACCTAAATTATGCATTATTCTTGCGCCCGATTTTAAAGTCAGTTTGAAATAAATAGTAAATAAAAGTTCACTTTTAAGTATAAATTTTAGTTTCATAACACTCACTTAGAGTTCATTTTAACCCAAAAATTAAGTTTAATGTTTAAATTTTATTTTTTTGAATTTTACAAAAATGCATCAAGTTCAAGTTTTTCTGAAGATGCATTAGGATATATTCGATGTCCAAAAGTTTACAGGGAAAGAATTAATTGTTCAAACCAATATGATGATATCATGGGCTTAACCTGCTAATTTATGCATTAGCATTATTTATGGTAATTTATTTTTCTTAAGTCTTCCACATAATTCTTCCATTCTTTTTTGACATTTGCCACTACTAAAGCTTTTCCCTTTGACTCAGTGCTTGGTTGAAAAGTTATCTGGTGATTTACTTTCTCAAATCCAGTTTTTATTATTGCATCCATATTAACAGTAATGCTGTAATTTAATAATATATTTATTTGTATTTACACCACATACAACGTTTACCTTTTAATAACATACCGACATAATCTCAATCTTACTTTTTCTTCTTATTCTTTTTTGGGGCTAAGTCCTTGACAGTTATCCGGTAACCTCGATCTAACATGAAAGCGCAGTAAATGTTGCTGATTTACGACACTAGGTGTCGCTGTTCCGAACTTGCACGGTCCCAATAGCTTGCTTTTTACAAATTGATTTTTGTGAAGTTGTGAATTGATCCTCTTGACATGTTGATGGTGTACTTCACACTGACTGTTTTTGGTTTATTTAGAACGTTTTCTTTAATTTTCGTACCAGGTCTTTTTGGATTATTTGTCACGCAGTACTTCAATACAAACATGTCTTAATAGAATTTCGATGGTTTGCTATAAAAGCTTTCATTGAATTTTCTGATGTCGGTCATTGTTAACGAGGAACATTGATGAACTTTAGTGTTATGACGACAATTGAGAAATTCAGAAAGGCACCGCCGAGAATACCTAAAAAAGTAAAATGATATAATCCGATCAGTTGTTAAACAAAAACTTCAATGTGAATATACCTTAGTTTTCTTGCTATTTATCGTTTCCACTCATCCTTATTTACCAATGGTTTTCGCCCTTTACCAGTTGGACTTGGTTCAATAATAATGTTATTCACATTTATTCACATTCACATTTATTCACGTTTAATTGTTTTCATGAGCACTAATTCATAACGTATGTTTATCACGTTGGGTCTTAATGTGAGTACAAAGTATTAACGAAATATGAGTAACAATACGAAACAGCTCAAACACGACAACACGTTACTAAGAAGTCGCATCCGGATTGGTTTAAAGGCAAATGTCTGCCTCTACACCTAACAAGTATACACAAATGTCTGCTTTTGCGTTTGAGGCTAAATTTCAACTGTGAGTAATGCCATTCAAATGTCTGTTTATGAACTAAAGGCTCAGAAAAACGGATTCCTATCAATGTTTACATATGGAATCCATATATAACTCGTTTTTTAAATGTCAAATGTCTGGTTTTGCTTTTATACGCTTCATTTATAAAATAAGTTTCTTATTCTTAAATTTGTTTCAAATGCTTCTTTTTTTGCCGATAGACGAAAAAAGTAAAAATTTACCGTTTTGTGACCCAAGTCCAAAAAATCGACTGCATGAAACACATAGGTTTTTGTTACGGAGGTCCATACTTCTTATAACAACTGTCATTTACCCGGCCGGATCAGTGTCACGAAAAAATGATTACATTGTGGGACCTTTTATTACTGAACTGGCTCTAACTAGTAAATTTGGCGTTTATACGTCATAGTTTCTTTTATATGATAACGACACCAGGCTCTACAGCCATTTTTTTTAATTACGTAATTAATGCTAAAACTACAATATTTTTTATTCTGGATTACTTATTCTCTATTGTTGATATTGTATAAAAATCAAATATTATGTAAAATACTAACAATTTATTGTGTTTCTTTTAGAGAAAATTGCTACGGTGAGGAGAGTAACCAAGAGGAACGCAAACAACCGTTCCATGGCCAAGCGTTTCATTTCTCCGGCGTGGGATTCGGCAATTACGTCCCTGGCCACCAAAATCAATACGCGCAGCCCTACCAACAGACCTTCAGCGAGTTTCCTCCGATGTTCACTCCCTACGGGGGCATGTACGTTCCGGAGTTCAGCCAGAAACCCCTAGATGGAGCCTTCCATCAAAACTACGAAAATTTCAATACTGAAAACAACTTTCCAGAATCTAAAGAAAACCAATACACTAATCTGAATCCCGTGGCGAGCAACAGTAAAATAGAATCGTTCTCGGAGCTGTTGAACGGCAGATACGGCGGCTATTCCAGCTACGAGGGGGAGTTCAGTAGTTTAAATTCCGAATGTTCGGCGAATAGCTTGGAGAAGAATAACGACAATTCGACCAGCACCAATGAAGAATGCGACGAAAACTTCGGCGAAATTATTAAAAAATCTATGGTAGAAACTGTCTCAGCATAAAGTTAATGATAATACATACCAGTATCTCAGTTGTATGACAGTTCATCACTTCTACGTCGACCAGATTCAGTGTCGCATACTGAATTTTCCTGAGGGGGGGGGGTTTCGAAGTTTTTGTATGCTACCTCCATTTTGAGTCCCTAAAATTTGGGTTTTAGTTTAATTCAAAGTACTAAAGAAGCAGTGCCAAAGATTCCATCACTTTTCTAATTCCTTCATTCCATTAGCGTTGAGGTCTACCCCTTTTTCTTTTTCTAGGGGGGCTCCCATTTGTGAAGTTTTTGGAGCCAACGTTCATTAGGCATTCTCAATAGGTGTCCAAACCATTTTAAACCTCTTCTTTCTATTCTGTCAATGACCGATTCTGTAGCATTCATGTTATTTCTTATAGATTCGTTGGTCTTCCTTTCCATCCTAGATGTTCTAGCACTTCTTCTCAAATAATCCATTTCAACTGCCAACAATCTTCTCTTTAGGTCTGCATTAATTGGCCATACTTCAGAGCCACAAAAAGAACTGATACAACCATGGTTTGTCCTATTCTTTTTTGCTCCTTTTGGAAATGTTGCGATTCCACCATAATGAGTTCAGACATCCTACAATTTTTCGTCCTTGATTAATTTGGTGTTAAATTTTGGTTTCTCCCAAACCATTCTTAGCAATGAGTATACCTAAATATTAAAATGTTTCCACTTGTTTGATTTGCCCGTCCATGTCTATCAACACTTAAAACCTTGCATCTGATTGAATATAAAACCTTGCATCTGATTGAAAAATTGATAACTAAATATTCTCCTTTATTCATGCTGACTTGTAGCCCCCTTTTTGCATATTCTCTGTACAGACGATTTATCATAAATTCTAGATCATAAGAATCTTGAGCTAGGACGACTTGGCCATCCGCAAAGTTCAGAGAGACAATACGTCATTTCCTATGGGGATTCTCATTCCCTGGCAGTGGTTTTTCCAATTTTGGAGGGCTGCCTCAATATATAAATTAAACAGTAAGGGCGACATACTGCGTCCTTGTCCTTTAGTTACTTTTATTATCTCTGATAGTCTATTTCCGATTTTTAGGTAAGTAGTGTTGTCGCTGTGATTATTCCTAAAAGGTATGGACTAATGCCGAGTTGTTGTAAAGCTTGCCACAATCTAAGTCTTGGAACTGTATCATACGCCTTTTCTAGGTCGATGAAGGACAGATGTACTTCGGTACCAACCGCTATCCTTTTTTCTATTAATTGTTGGAATATAAACAAGTTGTCAGTGCAATATCAAAGATTCAAACGTCAATAAACTGCTTTTAACCTTCAATTGCGGCTTATTCCCATTAAAATAGTAATTAGATCTTATCTCTGTCGTTAACCCGGTAGGTGTTTCTCTTCCGTACTCTTCCCGTCATCTTCACGATCATAAGTCACAGGGTTCATACCTATTTCTTTATAGGTTCTGTTTCTCTCCATGTATATCTATTATACTCCAGCATTGTGTGAGTAACAATGTCGGAATATTCGCAGTATAGGCATTTATCTGTATCTATCTTTCTGAACCCATGAAAATACGGCCTAAAACAGACAATCTACCCAGTCCCTTAGGCTCGGGATCAGCATTTTGGTCCACTGGGCAACATCTTCCTTGTTGTTCCACTCTTCTTGGCGTCATTCCATTGATCTTTCCCTTTCTCCATTTTTTATAGCTCTTGTCAAATGCTCTCTTCTTTTATAGATATGTCTCTTTTCTACTGCTTACACATGCAGAGCAACACAACCCGTGATAGTCCACAAGGCCGTCGCAGATACTGTCCTGTAGGCTCATGCCTTTTGCCATGAGCCTAATATTAGGTATCTATATCTAAATATAATGAAAAATATTATTTATTGTGTATTTATACAATAATTATTGTGTTCTACTTATTTAAAGTGGTAATTTAGTTATTCAATTTTTTGCTATTCGCGTTTTGGATTTTTTGTATTGTGTGTGAAAGACAAGTTACATTTTCCTCCAATCCTTACAGATTTTTTAATTTATATGCCCTGAGGGGGGGGTTTAACCCCCAAAACCCCCCTCTGGGTGCGCCACAGCTTCTACGTCGACCAGATTTAATCCGCAACGCTGCATTCTAACGTTAAATTCTTCTGATCTGAAAGGACAAATCAGTAAGTGTTTCGTCCTCTTCAAATATCCAAAATTTCACTTTCGTGCAGCATATTTCGACGCTAGAATTGATGAATTCCCATACAATTTTCATTTTACTTTACTTATATAAAGTGCTGGGAGTTTTTTAACAACATTATCTTTAAAGTTTTCTTTGTACGTATTGTTATCTGTATATAAAAGTTGTTGAGTCAAGAGAATTTTTAGAACTTCTTTTTAAACGACGTTAATAGATTGAATCTAAAAAATATCACTTGAACAACATGGCAGTGGTAAACCTTGTTTGCTGTAAATATACCGTGACGTCATAATGACGTCAGCAGTGTTGCCGGATCGTGTACTTAAAAATATACATAATACATACTATTCATAAACGACATTGTTAAGTTAAAAAAGGATTTTTGCTTTACATATTTCTTAACTTATAGCATATTTTTCCTTTTACCAACATTGTAAATGTAACGAGTAATTTACGTACAGAATCTATTTCGACCATTCATTTCATTTTTGTTTTTAAATATATTTTGTTTCTATTGCTTGTTTCGTAGATTGCATAAAAAAAGCATAAATTACCTCAAACAAATCTTTCCCTAAATCCACTACACTTGCAACATTGCAACATTGTCGTGATAAATATGGGCGAATCTGTTTTTAGATTTGGTGGTGTCAGTATCTATTTATAGCAAATGAGGTTTACATATTTATGATATTTATTTTAAAAGGCAACCATTGTATTTTATTATTATATTATTATTATTATTACGTTCCATATTGATTATTACTTATTGAATTGTAAATGATTTATATATAAAATGTAGAAAAATATTAGAGAAAAAAAGTGTTTTAATAAATGTTGTGAAAAACTACCCGTTTTAGGATTTATTAGTGTTTGAAGCCAAAAATACTGAGGGAGATTTGAAGAACAACGCCGGCATTTCTGTTTATGAGACATAAAAAAACCTGGTGTACTAGTGGACCAATTAAAGGTCCTGGAAATAATTGCCATTTAATGAAGTTTAGATTTTTTTTAAATAAATGTAAATATTATGACGGAAAGGACAAAGAACCTGAAATAGAAAATATGCAGACCACATTTAACAATTAAAACATTAAAGTAAATAAATGCAGGACATGCTTGGACCTACAATGGGTTTTATTCGTTGTGTAAAGTCAAATTAATAAAAAAAAACGCTAAAAACCGTCAAAAATTGGTGCATATTACATGAAACAAAATCTGGCACACTATTTGGCTTAGCCTTGGAAATAATGCTACTGAAAGTACACAGTGTCGAATGTTTTTCTTTAGACAATGATAATAGCCAAATGTATATAACAGTAACACCAAAACAACCTGGAATATAAATATATGGATCTACACTAGAAGGCTTTATTCGTAGTGTAATGGAAAATATTCCATCGAGAATCGAAAATTGATTCAGATCACATGAAATAAAATCTAGTACACCAATTGGCTAAATAAATGTCCTGGAAAGAACGCCTACTGACAAGAAGATCAGTGGTGAAGTTTTTTCTTCTTCCTTCTTGTATGTAGGCTTTAAAACGTATGTTTCTGCTTCAATATTAGCCTCCTAAATTGTTTAAATTATCGCCCCATCTTTTTCTTGGTCTACCAATACTTCTTCGTTTATTTGGTGACGTATCTCGTGCTATTCGTACTATCCTATAATCTACCATTCTACTAATGTGTTCGTTCCACTCCTGGTTCCGTTTTATCACCCATAGATGTCTTCTATATTGCATGCTCTTATGTTTTCGCTTCTCTCCCTATCCAACAGACTTTTCCCTGATATTCGTCGAAGTATTTTCATCTCTGTTGTTTCTAGTAGTCGTCTCGTTTTAGATGTGTCAGGTCTTGTCTCTGTCATGTATGTTAATATATGTCTAATTGCTGCTTTATAGATTCTTGTTTTTGTACCTTGTCTTGGGTGATTGTTCTTCCAGATTGTGTCATTAAGCGATCCCACCGCTTTACTTGCTTTTAAGCTTTGTTGTCGTACTTCTTCTTCAGTATCTCCGTAACTAGTTATATCTATTCCCAGATATTTAAACCTTGCTTCCTGCTTTATTATTTTCCCATCAATTTCGGTTTTACACCGTAGTGGGTATTTAGATGTTGTCATACAGTTGGTTTTTTCTGCTGATATTGTCATATTGTATTTCGTAGCTGTTGTACTGAAGATAGGTGTTAAGCGATTAATGCGGCGTCGTCTGCATAACACAATATTTGGATTTCTTTGTTTCCCATTCTGTATCCATGAGCTTTACGTACTACTTGTATTATTTCATCCATTATTATATTAAAGAGAAGTGGGCTTAGCGAGTCACCCTGTCTAACTCCGCTTTGTACTGGTATACACTGTGTTAGTTTTGCCTGTATTCGATTATGGAGGTAGATGTTTTCGATGGTTTGTATAATATTGATTGGTACGTTTCTTTTATATAGTAGGTGTAAGACGTCCTCGACTTGGATGCGATCGAAAGCCTTTGTCAGGTATATAAAATAGATATTCTGGTTTATTGTACTCGATGGCCTTTTATGTGAGTTGTCTTAGTACAGATGTAGCGTTTACGCAGGATCTTGCGGATCTGAATCCTTGTTGTTAATCGGATGAAGTTGTTAGTTTATTGATTTTGTTAATTAGAACTTTTGTGGTAAGCTTAAGTGTGGTGTTTAGTAGATTTGTACCTCTATAATTGTTGGGGTCTTCTTTATCTCCTTTGTTGAACATTGGTATCATTACGCTGTTTCTGCATGCGTCTGGTATCTTGCAGTACAATATTAGTTTTTGTATAAGTTTTGTCATCTCTAGGGTTATAGTTTCTCCTCCGTGTTTTAGAAGCTCGTTGGTTATTCCGTCTGGTCCTGGCTACTTTCTATTTTTGAGTGTATTTATGGCTATCTCTACTTCCTGAAAACTGATTTTTATTTCGTGTCGTTATGGTGTTGATTATTATTTTCCTTTCCTTTAAACCATTTTTTTTTATTTAGATAATTGTCAAATCTATATAAAAGTGGAGGTAACTATTCATACCCCAAAAATTATCCCAAATTGTTTTACAACAGCAAATGAAACTGGATTTAATAATGGATTAGAAATATATTCTTTAGACTTTATTCTTAGTGGAATGAAAAAGATAGCTAAAATTGATTAAGATCACATGAACTAAAATCTGGTTCATTAGTCAGCTAAATAGAGCCACTGGAAAGAATGCTATTGAAAGTAACAACAGTTTTTTTCTTGTTTATGCAATTCTTAAATCTATATAAAAGTAAAGATAACAATCCATGTAACAAAAAGTATCCATATTGTTTAAAAACACCAAAAGAAACTGTAACAGAAGAATATGGATCTCCACTAAAATATTTACTGAACAGCCGAGAGTGCTGATACTTCTGCATATCAAAAACACAAAATCTGGTGCATAACACCAAAGAAAACTGGAAGTATTTAGATCTGCATTAAAGAAAATGGCTTTTATTTATTGTGAAGCCAAAAAAAAGTATGCAAACAAAGCAATAGACAAAAAAACTCTGGTGAACTAACTGTAGAAATTAAAGGCCTTTGAAATAGTTCTACTAATCTCTACATCAAAACATCCATATTATTTAAAAAAAACTGAAAGAAGATTTAATTAGAAGTATAACTGCCTACAGGGTAGACAAATTAATAGCAGACATTGTAAAAAGTCAAAATAATAAAATATACAGTAATACAGATCAGAAAAAGGTAAACGAGTTAACCAATTAAAGACAATGGAAAGAGTTATACTGACAATTTACTTTAAAGGAGGTATTTTCATATCATCCAGTGCATTCAAAGTCAAAAATAGTTAGGAATCAACGCGAGAGATAGAATAAATCAAATTTGGTGAACCAATTGGTCAATTAAAGGCTCTGGAAGAATTGTATTTAAGAGAGAGTACCGTAAAACGGGGTTACTTAGGCCACTTTTGAAATTCAAACACCTTTCAAATCTAGACCAATCACTTCAGGGATTTAAAACTTGGTAAAAACGGTGGGTCTGCATCTAAACTTATTGTTTAATACCAAAAAAAGAGTTAAAAAAATTTTTTACCTGTCAAAAAAATTTAAAACATGGTGGCCTAAGTTTCCCTTAGAACGGGGTATGAAAAACCAGGCATGATAGATAAATGTATGGCGTAAGTTAAACACACCTGGGGTAACTAAATCCGTACACAGGGCTAAAATAAACAATACTTATGTTTAAAAAAATGAATTTAATTAGAAAAAACTTTATTTATTAACATTTTTATATGTTTTAAGGTTTTTGAAGATTAAATAATCAATTTAACTCATACAAAAAAGTGTAGTGACCACGCTTTACATTTGTAGGGTGAACAACTTTAACAATTTGTGATATATTTACATCCATTTCATCAGCATTGTAAGGAAATACAAAAACAGTCCCAGCAGTTTTCGTACTTTTTCTTAAGAAACTAACTGACACTTCATTTGTTTCTGGTGATGTATTTAACACTTTTGCATAAAACTGCTTTACGGCTTCTTTTTTGGTTCCCTCATCAAATAGCAGTTCAACAATTACAAATATAGCTGATTTGCCAGTAATCTCCTCCCATTTCACTGTGGTCCTCGTGGCTTTCTTATAGACGTTCTTAGGTTCAGGTTCCTCAAAATTGTCATCAGTGAAGTCACTTAAAACAAGTTCAGCATCTGAATCTTGCAGTGAGAATACTTCATCATTGTCACTAGAATCAGAACTGTCCTTTCTGGATCTTTTTGAAAAACGGGTTTTCTCTTGAGCTTGCTTTGAAGTACTTGGTTGTTGCTCTGCAGGGTTATCAGTAGAGTCCTTCATATCATCCGGCTGTACACCTACACCAGGTGGTACATTTAATTTTTTTTTTTCTTTCTCTGGCTAATTGTGTAGTATCTTCAACTCTGTTTTTTTCAAGGAAGGATTGTAAAGTTGCAGCCCAAGTGTTTCCATAATCATTAAGGGTTTCTCTTTCGTTCTCCTTAGATCTACTAGGAAGCCTCTTAAGTACTTGCTCCCTGTCAAGAGGTGAAATTCCTGAACCTTTAAAACCACTTATCAAGTTTTTTGCTATGTTCTCTTCACCCATGTCATCAATACACTTCTTCAATAGTCTTGGGAATGTATCCTTAGGTATTGTACCACGATTCTTCTCTTTCCAGTCACTTAATGTTTGGCGCCACTTTATTTTCAGTGGCCTAAAAAAAGATACATCAAGAGGCTGAGTAAAATGGGTACTGTTCGCTGGCAGAAGCACAAACTTGATGTTCTTCATCTTGCATTCATTAATAATATCTAGTGAGATGTGGCTTGCTAGGTTGTCCCCTATTATTACCTTAACAGCATCTTTGTCAAACTTCTTGAAGTATGGAATAACTATTTTTCTGAACCAGTCTTCAAAAATTTCTAGCGTGAACCAATCACTCTTTGACCTATTATAAACTGCTCCCTTAGGACCATTCTCAGTCCATGAGTCGTAAAGATTTAGTGCCTTGTACGTTATGTATGGTGGAAGTAATTTTCCATCTGCACTCCCTGAAAACATGACAGATGTACTTGCCTTGGAAGAATCAACGATTCGCTCAGGATGACGTGTACCTCTTCTTACTATAACTTTCTTTCTACCCGGATCATCACTTATATTCGTCTCGTCATAGTTAACTATCATACTTGGTTGAACTCCTTCAAGTGATGTTGTGAGTTCGTCAAAATAATTGTTGAGAATTGTCTCATTGACAGCAGCTCTACTTCTTTTTACATTTTGACAAAGCCTATTAGAAAGTTCTTTGTCATGTCTTTTCATAAATGAATCCACAAAGTCAATACCAGGCATATTGTGTTTAAGCCTTTTTTCTGTTCGGCCACAGCGATCTAGAAATCCTTTCACAATCAGTCGAATATCAAAGGTTGTTAGCGGGAATCCCCATTTTCCAGCCAATGTTACACATTCTACCAGCTGGTTTTCTTCAACAGGACTTAAAATACAAGGTCTTCCTACCTTATTGCGTTTCCCTTTCACTGCTGCTGTAAGAGCACATCGTGAAATTCCATACTGTTCAGCAACTTTCCTCAAAGAAAGTCCATCATCCTTCACTGCTTTTACCGCTGAAACGAGCTTTTCATCCGAATAGTCCTTATACTTTCGAGCCCCAAGGGGCCGGTGATAAGTTCGTGGCATAGGTATTGTGGTCTGAAACAAAGAAAATTGCTGTAACTTTATGATTTTTTACTTTCATGTAGTATGTTTTTCATTACGGGGTAACAAAAGCAACTGGCTTTTGTTACCCCGTAGTCAACACAGCTGTAAAAGAACAACAAACAAAAAACAACTAACCTTAAATATGGAGAATGAATTAAAGCATGGTCTACAATAATAACTAAGGTTATATTTTAAGATAGTTATTAAGCTTGAAAGAAAACGGACTGGGCTGGACGGAAAAAGTTTAAACAGCTATGAAATTTCAATACAAATTACCTCTAAATAATAATAAATTGCTAGGCTTATCTTTTAATGTGAATAAATGTTGTATTCCAGCAGCTTAAGGTTTATACGATTGTCAACTCACATACACATAAACATCTACAATTGCTGCAAACAGTGTTGTCAACATGGGCGCTCGAAATTTACCATGCAAAATGGCTTTTGTTACCCTGTAGGCTTAAGTAACCCCGTTTTACGGTACTGTGGAAACTGAATAGTAATTCCTACATTAAAATACATTCGCTAGAAACTTAAATAGTAGTCTATGTACTTAGAATCAAGCAAAATACCTTTATGCAATACAAGTAAAATAAAAATCATGAAAAACATAGCATATAATGCAGTTAAACTGTGAGAGATCTGATAAATTTAAATCGGGTCAACCAGTTGGTTGAGTAAAGGTCGTGGAAAGAATTTTAATAGGCAGAATAATGTGAAATTTAAATATTACCAAAAGTCCCAGAGGATATCAAACAAACCAATTAAAAACGATCGAATTCAAAGTTCAGAAAGATCATTCCTGAACATTTTATGAGATATAAGAAAGTTAAAACTCTGGAAAGAACAGACACGCGAGTAGATGAGGAAACCTACGTCGAAAAAAGATTCGAGTAAAAGAAAAACTTTTGCTTGGAAACAAATTAGGTACGTATAGAATATTAAGGTATTGAGTGCTATTTGTTTAGCAAAGAACGGGACCCTAGATCCCCGAATATGTCCCTCTTTATCCCAAGACGCTAAAATACTGTCGAATGCTATCCATTTTACATTAAACAACCTTTTAAACGTCAAAATATAGCTCCAGTGGAAGTTTTTGACGCAAAACAGAAAACGGCATTTTACTATGGATTTGAATAATCTCTTGCCAACAATAACTATTAGGTACTTATATCAGTTGCATTCCATGATCCTAACAAAGTGCAACTGAAAAATACAAGAAGATAAAAAATAAAAACATTAGGTAATTTATTATTTTTGGGTTTTCTTTCCGATTCTATATAGAAATCTAATATTAATTTCACATTTCTTCTATTAGATGGCGCTGTCAGTTCATTACTACGATTTTGTGACCCGATCACGTGTAATTCTGATTTAAGCAGTAATTTTCTTATTAAAGTGTGTCAGTTATAAGTGTTATAAGTCTTTTTGCGCATTTTCTAGTTGTCGCAGTTTCTGTGAAAAACAATAGTGAAAATGTTGGAACCATTTCTAAGTCAACTAAACGAAATGAGAATTGTTTTGGCCAGTGGGTCAAAACAACGTGCTACCTTGTTAACTAGTACGGTAAGAGATGGCGTAATTAGCCAAAATTTCAAATTAAAAGTTCTTTTTATGGAAATTTCCTCTCATTATTAGTTTATACAAAGAAAAAGATAAATTGTTTGCTACTGATAGTTTTCATGTCTCTCAATAATATTAGTTATATATGTATATTAGGTCTATATTTTGTTACCTATGTTTATGAAATAATATATACGGGATGCGGTCAATAAATCTACTAATTCATTGTGTAAGATCAAAAGCAATATGAAGTAGGTATTTCTTGTGTATATACAGGGATAGTCAAAAGTTCGTTCCCCTTCGTATCTTTTGAACGGTTATATTTAGGTATAATAGTCAAATTTGGAGGGAGGTAATAAACAGAACTAGGCTTCTCAACAACTTGTCATAACAGGTGACGTAGTAGTGACAGACGACGTTACAGCGCCACTGACTGTGACAGATAATTCTAAATGGGACCTTATGACAACTGATACCTCATTTGAAAGGTATTAAAAATACCTATTCAGTCATAATAATTTTGTTTGAGTTTAAGCTCATTTTGACGAATAAATTAAATAGATACTAAAATTGTAGCTTCTCATTTAATTAATAATAATGTATTTAACAACCAGTTCTTTAGTAAGTGTTTAAAATGTGTCACATCTACCCTGACAGTAATACATCCTATTTTTAAACTCTTGTCGTACTCGTTCAAATGTGTCGGGAGAAATTGCCCTACATTCTTCGACAATTCGTTATTTCGAAATGTCAATATTGTCGGGTACTGTTAGATTTAGATATCCCCACAGAAAAAAATCTTATGGTGTTAGTTCCGGTGACCGAGCTGGCCATTCTATCGTACCTCTTTGTCCAATTCATCTACAACGATATTCCTCATCTAGGTAACGTCTTACTGCACCATAATGGTGTGCGGGAGCACCATTGATGAAACATTATTTCCAAGTTGCCAAATTCATCTGGATTATCCTCCAGAATTTCAAATATTAACGGTTCAATAGCATTTTGTAACATCTCCAGATACACTTTACCGGTTAAGTTAGTATTGAGAAAAACAGGCCCAACTATGTGGTTTCCCAAAATACCTGCCCAAACATATATTTTTTTGGAAATTGAGAATGTGTTTCACGAAAGACGTGGGGATTTGTGTCACTCCAATACCTCACATTGTGTGTGTTCAAAGTTTTCAAAGTTGGTGCACAATTTTTAATTTGTATGAATGAAATTTGTTTTTAGCCAACACTCGATGTACTGTCTTTTGACTGATTCCATAGATAGGTGCAACTTGGGCTGTAGAAGAAGTAGGGGTCACTACCATTTCTGAAATTATGTCAATTCTTTTATCATCACTAATTGTTGGTCGACCAGATCTTGAACACTACCTGTTTGTTTAAACTTCCGAAGAAACTTTCTGAAATAAGTTCTCGATGTAGGACGATCGGGGTACTTCTCACTAAAATGACGTTCCGCTGCATAGAAATTATCTCCACATTCACCAATTAACACAGCTGCTACTTTTTCGGCTACAGTACGTACCATTCTGCCTTTGTAAAAATTTAAAGTCTCGTTAAACAATAATTAAACTAAATATTAACTAGGAACAACTAAGAACAACTTGACTAAACTTGAATTGACTAATCTAAGCAGAAACAGAAACTAAATATTCAGGTATAAACTTTTTTGCAAACTAAAAACAACTAGAAAACTGACAAACGTCAACTTTTTTGACAAATAACCAAAGGCAGGCGTTAGAATTTTTATTAATTAAATGCCGAACTAGAATTTTAATATTTATTTAATTTATTCGTCAAAATCATCAAAAATCAAACAAAATTAGTATGATTGAATAGGTATATTAAAATAATTGTAGTTTCGCATTTAATTAATAAATATTCTAATGTTCGCCTCTGGTTAATTGTCAAAAACGTTGACCTTAACGCAAAAACAATTAGAGAATTGAAAACCGTCAACTTTTTGACAAGTAACCTGAGGCGGAGCTTTTAATATTTGTTAATTAAATGCGAAACTACAATTTTATTATTTATTTAATTTATTTATCAAAAAGAGCTTAAACTCAGATAAAATTAGTATGGTTAAATACCTTTCAAACGAAGCATCACTTGCCATAAGGTCCTATTTAAAATTATCTGTCACGGTGGCGCTTTAACGTCATCTTTCACTATTACGTCACTTGTTATGACTAGTTAAGAAGCCTACGTCTGTTTATTACCTCCCTCCCAATTTCACTAACCGTTCAATAACCGTTCAAAAGATACGAGAGGGGAACGGACTTTTGACTAGCACTGTACACATTTTTCTTCAAATTTTCGTAAATTAAATATGACCTAGCTGTTTCCAAGTTTGTAAGATTTCTTGTCTAATATTGAAGGTATATTATTGATGTGTGTTCTCTTTTAATTGCTTGTAGAAACTCAAATACGAAATTATACCTTCTGATTACGAAGAGAATTTAAATCCAAAAGATCACACCTTCTCAGAGTTCGTGGAAAAAACAGCGACTGGAAAACTCTTGGACGTTTGGGAGAAATTAAAAAATGACACCAAGAAGCCTGATATAATCATAGGTGTAGACACGATGGTTACCTATAATGGACGAATGTATGGGAAACCAAAATCACGCGATGATGCTATTAAAACTATAACGGAGTAAGTAGTTATTGTTACTGAAGTAGATATAGTAGACTGCTTTGTGCACAACCCCTAAATCGCAACCCCTAAAATCGCAACCTCCGGTCGTAAATGGCTTAACGTAGGATGACGTACGAGGAACGGAGAGGAGACGGGAAATGCGTTGAGGCAAAAAACAAATATGGCGGGATTGCCAAATGGGCGCTAGAACGTATCTTCGTTGCTATTGGCATGATTTTGACGTCTGGGGTGTCAAATGAAAGCGTTGTTGGCACAGAAGCCAACTGTGTGGCTTCTGTCAACGTTCAATATGAACATTCTTCTTCTTCTTTTCCGTACAGTGCCTAAGATAACGTGACATTAGACAAAGAACATGACAGTCGACACATGACGTGGCAGTTATGTGACAGTCGATATAGAACGTGAAATGTCGCGTGAAATGACGTGACATCCGACGCAGGACGTGACAGATATGTGACATTTGACGCAGAACGTCGTTTGACATGCATAGAGTAATGGAATGTAAATAAATCAACAACATAAACATTGTATTTTTTTTTTTCGTATATAGTTACAATTTTGTTTAACAAAGTTTTTAATTGTTTTAATAAATCGTCATCAGGGCGGGGTATCCCAAAAAGTTCCCAGCTAAACGTTCCTGCTGCTACCACTTTACGTGTGTATTCGCTGTACTTATAATAGGTATTGTTCTGAAAAAAGTAAATAAACCCATCCGTATAGCGGAATGCTGATGTTATTTTATCTGGTAGTCCGGGGAAGAGATAATTTATGGGCCCACGGTTTAAGACATCTTCAGCTTCATTAAATTCAGTATAAGAATCATCATTGTATAATAAATACGTTTGGCCGCTGTTTGTTTTAAATAATGCATAATGCATTTTGGTTCTCGCAGGTATAGAAGGAAACATAAAACGTTTTTGAATTTATAAATTGGGGAAAGATGCAGCGTAATACTGATTATTGCGTATAGTTGCTAAGTATCCCTCGGAATTCTAAAAAACATGTGAAACGTGCGTAGACCTCAACTCTTTAACCTTAACACATGACATTGCAAAGACATTGTCTATTTCACTTTTCATATTCTTCTTGGTGTTGTTGCTGTTGGCACCCATGGCGTAGGTTGAATACGTCTTAGTGGATATGTAGCTGGTGGAAGTTTTCTAATGGCGTAAATCCAGGTGTCTTGCTGCTGCTGCTGCTGCTGTAGATTCAACTCTTCCGGTTTCCACGTTGTGTTCTGAATATGTAGGCTATCTAATTATCTTTTAATTTGCCTTATATCCTCGTATGATTTAATGTATTTATTTAACTAATTAAGTTTTCTTTAAAATTCCAGTACTCTATGTATGTACTCGATGGGATTTATATTACTACTGAAGTTGGCTTCTGTGCCAATAACGCTTTCATTTGACACCCCAGACGTCAAAATCATACCAATAGCAACGAAGATACGTTCTAGCGCCCATTTGACAATCCCGCCATATTTGTTTTTTCGTCAACGTATTTCCCGTCTCCTACCTGTTCCAACGAGCCCTCATACGTCACGATCGAACCAATACAAACGAAGATATGACGTGATGCCCTTTCGGCATGCTCCGATGTGCACGGCACATACAGCGTTGAACCCCATTTTTCATCCCCTTTCCAACGGGCCCTCGTACGTCATCCTACGTTAAGCCGATTGGCAGTTACGACCGGGGGTTGCGATTTTAGGGGTTGCGATTTAGGGGCTGCTCTCAAAGCAGCCTACTATATCTTCTTACTGATATACCTGACAAGATGTTTCTTAATGATTCTATAATGATATATTTACCTATTGATCTTCAAAAATGTGATGTATATTCTTTAGCTTGACCCAATCTGGCATACCAAATTCGGTTTACACAGGTGTTGCAATTAGATACAAGAGTAAGATCCATACATTCACGGAGGTAACAACGGTATACATGCTTAAACTTGATTTGGAGGAAATTGTAGCATACGTAGACACTGGCGAATCAAAGTAAGTACTATCTTTAAGTCAAAAATACATTTTTATTTGTTGTATTTTTTTCCCTTTGTTTTCCACTTACTTTCCCCAATTATAGTCATTTTGGCCTGCACGATTGTCCTTTATAACTTACCCTTTCCATACCAACTCTAGTTCTAGTTAATTAATATAAAAAAGGTTTATTCCAAATGAAGCAAGAACAGTCACAAAAATATGATAATCACCAACCTTCGAAAGAAGATGGTACCTTAAGAAGAAGAAGATCATAGTACAAGTCACTTAATTTTTGTAAATTCAGTCATGAATTCATTTTCGTCTCATCGTTTTCTACCGTTTCTGACTGTCGCTGTTCTTGTTCTATCAGATTTGTGTACTCTAATTGTATTTCCACCAATTATTCCACTTTTTCAGGGGAAAAGCAGGAGGATATGGAATCCAGGGGATCGCTAGTACGTTTGTGACAAGGATAGAGGGTGACTGCAACAACGTAATTGGTTTGCCATTGTGTAGACTAGCTAGCGAGCTGAAAAAAATTATTGCCAATAAATGATTTTAAAAAAGTATTAGTTTTTTTTAACCAAATATATTTCAAATACAGCCTTTTTAAAAAAACATCAAAAAACAACTAAAAGTTCTAAAAGTTATCACAGAAAAAATAATAGAAGTGAATAATAGATAAAAAAATAAATAAATATGAACTTTGATCAAATGAAAGGCAGATATAGAGCACAGTTTTTTATTAATTAAATCTTGCCTAAGTACTTTCGCTTCCTAGAGCATCTTCATTGGCATATAAAATAAGCCAAGAAATTTTTTTCAACTGAAAAGAATTGATTTAGACCACGATTCTATCGACTTAAGAGCTGCAGCAATACGATTATGAACAGATAATATGTTTTTATTTATTGCTAGAATTACCAGTTCTTCAGCGTACAAAATAGTTTTAATTGTGCCATTGCAATACGACACAACATTATTAATAGCAATAAAAAATAGCGCTACGCTTAGATTCGAGCCCTGTGGAATTTCATTTTTCTGTAATTAAGATTTAGACAAATGGTTATTTATGACAAACGTGGTTTATGACAATTGAGGGAGGAAATAATGTATCTTCCAAAGGAGAGATACATTTATGTCTTCGAAAGCTCAGTATATGTATATGTCTATATTCTGGGGCGATAGAACAAGCAGCAAAACTAAAATGGAAATGGGCTGGATACAATGAACGTCTCCAAGACGGACGATGGAACAATGCCATCGGAAAGTGGCGTCCATACAATGCAAAGAGATCAAGAGGCAGACCACAGATGAGGTGGAAAGATGACATCAGGAAACAAGGAGGTCCCACATGGCAGAGAACAACTCAGGATAGGGACAGATGGAGAGAACTAGGGGAGACCTAGATCCAACAATGGAAGGATACAGAATAGGTTCAAAAAAAATATTCTGGGTTAGGTGTAATTAAGCGTCGAGCATGAATTATTTGTTGATTGATATTAGTTATTCTTTCGTTGCCAGCATTCATGACAGTTTCTACTAATTCTTCACCAGCTAGATAAATACAAATACAATGATTTGAAATTCGTGATGAAAAAATAATATATCTTGGCCCTATAATTTTTCCCAGTACAAGAAACGTTTTCTAAAGCATTATATAAAATAGCTTGTTTCTTGGAAGGGTTTTTGGAGTTGAATTTTGTTGAAGTTCAGTTGAAAAATTATTTTCAAGTACCTAGGTACTGTTTGCAAGCTATTTGAATCTCCATATCATATACATGGTATACTCGTATTTAGGATAATTCATAAAGAATTGTGCTAAGAGGTACTATGAAATATAGAGGGATTCGAGATTGAAAGAACTTTAAAAAGCTAAAAAACAAAGTCTTTTCAAAGTGAATTAATTCAAAGATACATTATTTTTTGTTCAAAGGGTTTTAAAGCTATACAGTATACGGTAATAATATGTATTTGTAAAAATGTTTAACTAACAGTTTAACACTGTAGGCAACTTTTAACCTTGTATCAGCAGTTCATTAACAAACAGCAAAAATGCATTTCCATATCGACTTCTAAAATTCTTTCCGCGTCATCAACTGTTGGAATCTAATGATCTCCTGTTACAGCCATCAAAAGAAGATGACACATGATATTGTCGCAAAAGTTGTATTTCATAAAGATGATGACATATTGTCTGCACATGTGCTACACACACATTTCGTTAGATATTTACATGTGTATTTAAGAATAAACAGCGAAGACAAAGATTTTTTTCATCGCCGACGTAGGAAAAATGGGTCAACGTATTCGGTTTGCGTATGGGAGTTTATTGTCCTATTAAAAATTGAGTCGTTTAGACCACCTACAATGTATGATAAGTGAGAATGTTATTGTGTATTGGACCTTCGGTGTTTTTCTCTTGTGACCGATATATGTTGTAATGTTGATATGGCTATTTTCAGTTTAAAAAACATAAATTTAATTTAACGCCACAAAATAATTATAACAAAGATACTAAAGAACGAACAAAATTAAACGTAGTAACAAAAATTGTATTTATAGATGGTTGAAAATCTTTCAGTAGACGCAGTTTAATTTTGTGTATCAGTAGTCGCACACGGTCTACTACACCGGTCATAAAAATAGTCCTCTGGATGCATTTTGTTTAAATTTCAATAAAATAATATAACATTTGTAGTTTTTTTTAACATTATTTATTATTATTGTTATATTTTGTTTATTTAAAATGTTTATTTACGTAGCACAAAAAGTAGTCCACAATTTTTGTAATAGTTTGATTTATTCTCTTTTTTACCAAACAAATTACAATTAATTTAAAATTGGAACATAACATATTAGTCTTCAAGAACTATCTTAAGCCGGCCACTCACCTTCCGGTCTAGTTGTCAGGTTGTAGCGTTTTATATTTAATGTCTAAATAATAATATAAATTCGATTCTATATAGTACGCCCCTGGTATGCTAGAAATGTGTTGTCTGTAGAGATTTTTAAATACGCAATAATTCTTCAATAAATAAAGACGTATTTGCTAAAGAAAACAATTTATGGCTTTTTAACTTCAACGTTCCCAGAAAAATATTGCAAACCATGGTATTCTTTTTTCCAAAGCGTAGTAACGCCGGAAGTTTGAACGAGTTTGAGTAAAGAATTTGTTGATTTGACAAGATGGCAATGGTTTTGTGCGGGGAAAAGAGAGGCGGTATCCGGAGATTGAGATCGAGAGGGTCAAGTCAAGTGAAGTGAGTGATGAAGATTTGCTCGAAGGGAAAGGTCGTTTAATTGTGATGTGGTAAGCCGGCATTAATTCGCCAAAAATGGTGGAATTTTCACTCTATGTAATATGTCGTTTCTGAAAGAGTGACCACTAACCACTGTTTTGATTTTGCTGAAGATTTATAATAAATAACACATACCGTAACTCCATTAAATCGGCAAAGATGTATCCAGGAACAGATGTATCATCAGACCACAATCCAGTAATCGTAAAATTCGAATCCACTTGAAGAAAATAAAAAATCAACAAAAGACACAACAAATAAGCACTCTGCTAAAACACCCAAATATAAAAGGAGAAATAGCTTTTAGCAAAAGCTGTTGCTTGGATATTGCTTAATCTTGGACCTTAAATGTGACATCAATAAAAAAAGTGGAATCATTCGAGCTGTGGGTGTACAGAAGAATACTGAAAATATCGTGGACAGAACCTGTCACAAACAAAGAGGTTTTGGAAAGCATGAATAAAGAAATGGAAATTTTAAATACAATAAAAACAAGAAAATTAGAATATCTCGGACATATTACACGTGGAGAGAAATACACCTTGCTCCAACTGATTATGCATGGAAAGATCCAAGGAAAGAAAAGCATAGGGAGGCGTAGAATGTCATGGCTGCGCAACCTGAGAGAGTGGTGCGGATGTATATCAAACGAACTTTTCAGAGTAGTCTCTGCCGCGGAGATGGCACTTGAAGAAGAAGATGTGTTTGGGAAAGTATGTGCGAATTCATTTCATAATTTTACAGTTAATATTTTTTCTGTTACGGTACTGTAATGTGATCTAATTTGGTGCTGTATTTTAAAAAACCTTTTTGAAATATATTGTTTCCTGTTATCTCATAAAACTTAAACTGGATATCTCATTTATGATGTTGTGAATACGGAGAATTTGGCTTCTCTTTTGTATGGTTCAAAAATATATACACAAAACTGTAAAGTTTCGCGTTACCGTCACAATTAGTTAAAATTATCGGAGAGGTCGCAATACAATAGAATGATTTATTGGTACACCCTCTCGGACCACCGCTCAGAGGGTTACTAGCTTTGACCATCTCAACGCATTTGGCACTTATTCGTCAGATAACGATCGATCGACACGCATCTAGTTCCGGACGGTTCTCGTGCTAAGCCTCGGGACGGCGACGCTAGCGTCGGTACCACCGACCAACTCTTCACCCTAGTACGAACTCATCAGTAGAACCAAAGGGTAAGCCTTATAATTCTTTGTACAAAACATTGACAATGAGTAAACCAGTTAATTTCATAACTTATTCATAATTTATAATTGCTATTTTCACCAATTTTATGTACCAACCAATATTGCATTTTTCGTTATAATTATTTATCTGATATAATTTAACCAGCGACCTCTTAAGTTTAACCCTAAACAAGATGCTTTGATGAAATAAAAGAAATTTATTATTATAACGCACTATTTTCGGGGACACCCTGTATTTATGCATTACCCAGTGTCAGCGGATATGGTATAAATCAGTGCGGTTGCAATCAGAGTTGTCGGTCTTTGCATAAATTATAAGTAAACGATCCAAATTAAAGATTCAGTGCATATATTGCTAACAACTGATTCATTTGTAATATGTTTTATAAAAATAAGAGTTTGGCATTTTTCACACAAATGACTTTAGTGCTTTTTGTGTACAGTGAAAACTTGCAACCATATACTGTGCTCTACTCTGACCGAAATGTTTTAGTTTTCCAACTCTTTCCTGGGAAACAAAGCCCGTGTGCAAAAACTAATTATACTCTGAACTGTCCAGGAACTTTGAAGTGCACATTGTCGATTCAGAGTCCTTTTTTTAATATCACGAATACTTTTAGCTACGAGTTTATAAGTAGTACATTTAAGAACACTACAGGAGCATATTTATTTTTCAATGGAATCGTAGATTTTAATAATAAGATATATTTGACAGACGCCATCAGTAGCAGTGCACAATATACTAACGGATACTACTATAATTCTAAAAGTGATTCTTTAACGGTATGGCTTCAAGACTATTTGCCAATAAAAGTGTTTTATCACGGTCTTGTCAGTGAAACTGTAGGCAGCCATCAACATCCTATAGCTATCCGATTTAGTACCTGCAATCAAATATACAATCTAAAAATTTTAGACGAATTTGGAAAAAATATATTCAAAACTAACCAAAAAGAAGTTTATGTTCGTAAAGAATTCACGAATCCGAATCCATCAAGTAGTTGTTTATTGTCTGTACTTATTTTACCAGAAGATAAGGAGGTTACAAATTTACAAATACCTCCTGTACTCAAAGATGACAAAAAGAAAGAAAGCAGCACACCAGTGAACAAAACGGTTGCGGTTGTAAACCCAGAGCACAGACCAACAGATGAAGCTAAAACAAAATTACTTACAAGCACGACTGCTTTAACAACATTAAAGACAACCACTACAGGAAGCACAACCATCACTACAACTACTGAAAAAATAACTGCAAGTGGAACAAACACATCGATTCCAAATCAAGATATCTCTGTACTAGGTGAATCCACAAAAACGTTATTAATCATACTAATATCATTAGTAGTATTTTTGATATTTATAATTTGTGTACTGATATATTTCTGCAAGAAAAGAACAGCTTCTGGTGGAACTTCCAGCACGTTTTCCAAAATCAAATCAACTTACACTGAATGGTTGGCCTCCAACAGACACTTAAGGGAATCACCACCAAGAGATCCTTATAATGAAGAAAACAGCTATTGCACGCCTTTAGAAGATTGTGTAGAAGTGCCTAAACCACATTATGATTACGTTATGGTTAGAGAGAACAACTTATTGAGTGAACATGATTACATGGTTGTTAAAGATAGACAAACAAATCCGGAAGATACCTATTTGGTTCCTAAAGAAGAAGAGAAATAAGATATCATTGCGGAAGATTACATCTATGTGCAAGACAAAAGGTCATTGATACCCAAATCTGGTGCGTCTGGAAGTGCTCGAGTGACATCTGACGATATCCATAAAAGATAGTTGTAATATGACTAAAATATGCTTTTTATGCTTTTATGCATTTAATGCATATAAATAAAAAACTCAGTTATACATGTATTGAAGGTATTTAATTTATTTTATGTTAAAGTCACAAAAAATATTTGTTGTATTATAAATTAAAAATTTGTTATAAATTTGTATTATCTACATCTTTATATTCATTTATTCTTTGATTTATCATCATTCATCATTATCATCATTCTTTATTATACTATTATTACAGTTAAAACTATATATTATTCAATTTTTCACACCTATCTTTCCCCCTACATTAAGCACGCATATGCCCAAATCTCAAGCACTTTAAACATTGTAACATTCTGGGTGTGTACTTTTCAACCTGGTTTATCAGTTTTTCTATTACTACGTTTGTAGGTATAGACTGATCTTTAAACGTTACTATTACAGTTCCAGTTTTTACGTAGATAGTAGATCCATATTCTTGTACCACTTTCCGCATTATTGTTTTTACATGTAAGACTTCAAACCTCATTCCAAACCTAAGTTGAATTAATGATAACAAATCATCCTCTTCTATCTCTTTATCTACATATTTTATAACTACTTTCCTTTGAGTAAAAAACGTTGGAATATATGCCTCGTACTGTTTGCTTTTTAAATTTTCTGATTCAATTAATTTATTAGCACTAGCAAAATTATTGAGTTCTACCTTAAATTTATTCCTACCAATTACCGTAATTTGTTTGATATTATTTTCAATTTCAGGTACTGAACGTAAAATTTATTGGGCCATGCCTTTCCTGTGTAATTTTCCGATATTACTTTTATAATCTACTATATATGGTGCATTATCTCCTAATTTATATCTTAAGTACTATTTAACTGGAAATAAGCCACAATTAAAGGTTAAAATACATTTATTGACGTTTCAATTTCCACTTCGGAAATCGTTCTCAAAATACAAACAGTAAATTAAACAAATTTTGTTTTTTGTTACTTAGTGAACAATTCTTCTAATAATTTAATTTTATCTGACTCATTTATATTGACCATTCAGACATACATTATGCATTTTAAAGTAGACGACTTTAAAATGATATTGCTAATATTGTTGTTGCGCTCCTGAGACGACTTTACTTATAAGATAGTTCATTCGATTACATGAAATCAACTTTAATTTGAGAATATCCGTCAGAAAAAAATCATAGCATGCAATTCGTCTTTAAAAAGACAAACACATGCCATGATGACAGTAAAATTCTCCTGTTAGTGATTCCATAGTAAATTATGAGGGAAAAACCAGGAAAAAAACCTCATAATACTATCCCGACATGGTAAGTATTTGGTCGTACATTTAGTTTGCCTTCAATAAACACCAAATTCTAATTTTATATGTTTGTTATTTAAAAAACATAAATGATGTATTCTCTATATGTTACTGACTTACTAATACTGGTATATTCTTATTAATTACATCCTCTTTCAATATGGGTAACCAGATCCTACTACATTCTGCCGAGGAATTTGCGACACATTTAATCTCATTTAGCATAATTCGAGCCGCTTCTTTGATTTGTCTCTTTTTACCATCCATTTCTTTTAGGACTACATTTGAACTATTCCATTGAACCCTATGTTTATTATCCCATGCGTGTTTACATATTTGAGATCTATCAAATTCTCTATTTTTAATATAAGATTGATGTTCACTTATTCTAACATTTAATGGCCTTGATGTTTCACCTAAATAAAACTGATCGCATTCACAAGGTATTTTATAGATGCAATTCTTTGTCCTTTCTTGTTCATTGTTAGGTTGGTTTTGGACAAAATAAATCTCAACGTGTTTGTTGTTTTGAATGTTGTTGAAATGTTGAATTTAAATGGTAAAAAAAGAAAAATCAAAGAAGCGGCTCTAATTATGCTAAATGAGACCAATTGTGTCGCAAATTCCTCGACAGAATGTAGTAGGATCTGGTTACCCATATTAAAAGAGGAAGTTATTAATAAGAAAATACCAGTATTAGTAAGTCAGTAACATATAGAGGATACATCATTTATGTTTTTTAAATAACAAACAAATAAAATCAGAATTTGGTGTTTATTGAAGGCAAACTAAATGCACGACCAAATACTTACTTTGTCGGGATAGTATTATGTTTTTTTCCTGTTTTTTCCCTCATAATTTACTATGGAATCACTAACTAGAGAATTTTACTGTCATCATGGCATGTGTTTGTCTTTTTAAAGACGAATTACATGCTATGAGTTTTTTTCTGACGGATATTCTCAAGTTAAAGTTGATTTCATGTAATCGAATGAACTATCTTATAAGTAAAGTCGTCTCAGGAGCACAACAACAATATTGGCAATATCATTTTAAAGTCGTCTACTTTAAAAATGCATAATGTATGTCTGAATTGTCAATATAAATGAGTCAGATAAAATTAAATTATTAGAAAAAATTTTCACTTACAAAAGTAACAAAAAAACAAAATTTGTTTAATTTACTGTTTGTATTTTGAGAACGATTTCCGAAGTGGAAATTGAAATGTCAATAAACGTATTTTAACCTTTAATTGTGGCTTATTCCCAGTTAAATAGTAATTAATTTAAAATGCCACAAGAAAATAGCTTTAAAACAATAATTTATATCTATTATTTAATCTTAAATTTTTAACTTTATTTAAATTTGGATTGCCTGATCTACCTATTTTTTTAAATTGGGTCAAAGTTGCATCGTAATTAAAATCAAATTGGTTACTTACCTCGTTAGTGCTAGTGATTGGCTTTTTTTCGTTTGTTACCTTATCATTTACCCTAATGCTGCTAATTTTTTTAATTTTTCAAATTCCATCATCCTATCTTCTCCTAATTTTATATAAAATTTTCCTTTATCTGGAGGCTTCGGTGGAATTTCTTCCATGTCGATTTTTTAGAGATTTCACTTCCTACACACGAAATATACACTTTCTTACAGACCACTAGGTTAATGTGTTTTTACCGCTACAAGTGATACCATAAAAATGAAGAAAAAGCCTTTAAAATTTACATTTTTTTGTAAGAGCTTCAAAATATGCGCCTTTGGATTTGACGTTTATTTGACAGTTCCACAAAAAAGAAAAGTGGCGCCAAATATCAATATTTAATTTTTTTTTTGAATTTAGTAAGGAAATTTAATATTAGGGAATTATAGTACCTATTAGTTTTCGTAAGAGAGAATGTAATTATAGATATTGCTTAGTTTATCAATATCAGTTTTTTTATTAACACATTGACATTTACGTTTTCACGTCTTAATATCTTGGTTTCATTGAAATTAAATGAATGAGTCTTCGAAACAGTGTCTTCTATTTTGCGCAACTTGCTTCCATTTGTATCCTCCGATCTTCTTAATATCATCCACCCACCTTATTTGTGGTCTTCCTTTGCTTCTCTTTCCTAACCATGGTCTCCATGGTTCCATCTCTTGTCCTTCATTCGGACATTGTGTCCTACAAAGCTCCATTTTAATTTGGCAGATATTCTCCTGCGTCTTTTACTTTGGTTTTGCTTCTAATCCATTTGTTTGTTTTTTTTTGTCTATAAGTTTCACACGGAGCATTGATCTTTCCATCGCTCTTTGTGCTTTTACTATTTTATCCATATTAGACTTGATGAGTGTCCACGTCTGTGAACCATACGTAAGTATAGGGAGGATACACTGATCGTAAATTGTGGTTTTCAAATATTGTTCTATTTTAGTGCTCCTTCAAGATCCAACTCAGTTTTCCAAATCCTGCCCACGCTAACCATGAAGTAATTACGTAGAAGATATCAAAATATATTGATAGAGAATGTTGTAGTATTGTGTAGAAATTTGACGGAAATATTGGAAAATTTCATATCTACTATTTTTTTTAAATACACCAATTTGTCATTTTTCTCAAGGATTCTATTCTCTATTGCCCATAAATAAACTATTTAGCAACGTCGCATATTTGCAAGATTGACGTATTAGCGGTGGTATTAGAAAATTAATCAAACCAAATTAAGTTTCAAGACATCCGGCTAACGTTGATACAGATATTAACACACGCATTCCATTCTCTTTTATCAGATCCTCGTACTGTGCAGTTTACTAACATAAAAAACTGACATATAATATTAATAACGTACAAGGGGCCGCAAAAAATTTATTTTAAAAATTTATTGTTTCCCGGACGAAAAATGAAATAATTTAATATAAAAGAATTACATATTGTTCTGAAGCTATTTTCTTGTGGCATTTTAAATTAATTGCTATTTAACTGGGAATAAGTCACAATTAAAGATAAAAATACGTTTATTGACGTTTCAATTTCCAATTCGGAAATCGTTCTCAAAATACAAACAGTAAATTAAACAAATTTTATTTTTTGTTACACAGTGAAAAATTCTTCTAATAATTTAATTTTATCTGACTCATTTATTTTGACAATTCAGACATACATTATGCATTTTAAAGTAGACGACTTTAAAATGATATTGCCAATATTGTTGAGTTGCGCTCCTGGGACGACTTTACTTATAAGATAGTTCATTCGATTACATGAAATCAACTTTAACTTGAGAATATCCAAAGGACATCCTTTAAGGACAAAGAATTGCATTTATAAAATATCTTGTGAATGCGATCAGTTTTATTTGGGTGAAACATCAAGGCCATTAAATAAGTGAACATCAACCTTATATTAAAAATAGAGAATTTTATAGATCTCAAATATGTAAACACGCATGGGATAATGAACATAGGGTTCAATGGAATAATTCAAATGTAGTCCTAAAAGAGACGGATGGTAAAAAAAGAAAAATCAGAGAAGCGGCTCTAATTATGCTAAATGAGACCAATTGTGTCGCAAATTCCTCGGCAAAATGTAGTAGGGTCTGGTTACCCATATTGAAAGAGGAAGTTATTAATAAGAAAATACCAGTATTAGTAAGTCAGTAACATATAGAGGATACATAATTTATGTTTTTTAAATAACAAACATATAAAATCAGAATTTGGTGTTTATTGAAGGCAAACTACTTGCACGAACAAATACTTACCATGTCGGGATAGTATTATGAGGTTTTTTCCCTGGTTTTTCCCTCATAATTTACTATGGAATCATTAACAGGAGAATTTTACTGTCATCATGTCATGTGTTTGTCTTTTTAAAGACGAATTAC